AAAAAAAAAAAAAAAAGAATTGTTAGAAATTCTAAGATTGTTGCATGTGGGCTGTGGGAAATCAAACAAGCCATTGTACTGGCATCTTTTTGTCATATCTAAAAGGCAATGGTGCCGTAAGACTGACAGGGTCAAAGACAAACCCCAAATCCCACATGTACAGCACGCTAGAAGCATCAGTATAAACCCTTTCCTGGCTCTGATTCCTGAAATGGCCCAGAAGTAATGATCAAACCAATAGCAGGAAACAGCCAGAGACCTGGACAGTTCTGGAATAGGCAGAAATGTACAAGCTCAGCTTGGAGCATCTTGTTACACTGACATCAAAGCAGTGTTCAAACACCATGAGTGCTGGGAATATGAAGAGGTTTTGAGCAACTGTAAGGACAGTACATCTACAGCAGATTGAAATTCAACAAATATGCTTACACTCATGTATTCATATGAATCCAAAAAAGGAAGATAAACTTCCATTAGTCACTTCTGGAGTGTGCTAGGTAATCACCTCATAATTTCGAAAATCAGTGAATAAAAGGAAAAAATCAAGCAGTGGTCCTGTCTTTCCTACACAATCTGCACCTCAGGATAAACAGAGTTAACAAAGGGAAGTTTCTCCTGATAGCAGGACTTCAGTTTATAAAGAAGGGAAAACAGAATTGGCATATCACCATTTTTGCAACCCCTAGTGAGTTAATGGTTCTAGGAAATCACTATCCACAGCTGCTAACTGCCATCACCATCACCACTAGGAAGCTGATTTTGAAAAAAAAAAAAAAAAAAATCAAATGTCTATGGGATCGAGCCTCTAGATCTAATTGTCAAAGTACAGAAATTACACGGGACAATGGGATGGATGAAATGACATCATGAGGAAGCCATCAGCAAAATCCAGACTCGGGAAAACCCTACAGGACAAACCACCTGGCTTTTCCACATCATAAAAAGAAACAGAGAGGAACCTGCAAAGTACAAGAGACGTACGAGCCACATCAGTCTACTGCAACCTGTAGATTTAGCTGGATCCTGCTTCAAACAAGCAGTAAAAAGAAAGCACAGGCTGGGCGCAATGGCTCATGCCTATAATCCCAGCACTTTGGGAGGCCGAGGCGGGCAGATCACTTGAGGTCAGGAATTCAAAACCAGCCTGGCCAACATGGTGAAACCTCATCACCACTAAAAACACAAAAATTAGCCAGGCGTGGTGGCAAGCACCTGTAATCCTAGCTACTCAGGAGGCTGAGGCAGGAGAATCACTTGAACACGTGGGGCAGAGGTTGCAGTGAGTCAGGATAGCACCACTGCACTCCAGCCTGGGTGACAGAGTAAAATTCCATCTAAAAAAAAAAAGAAAGAAAAAAAGAAAGCACAGGACAAAAAGCAAACACAAATATCAAATGCATATTTCATATTAAGCATTATTATGTTTAGATGTGATAATGGTATTATGGCACATTTTTTAAGGAGTCCTTTTCTCTAGACATACATACTGAAATGTTCAATGAATGAAATGCTGTATCTGGGATCTGCCTCAAAATAATCCAGCAGTGAGCGGGGGCTAAGGGAGAAACGGATGAAATGAGGCTGATCATGATTGATGGGTGGTGAGTTCACCACACTATCCTTCTGCCTTTTATATGTTTAAAAATCCCTGTAACAATACAGTGGTTTTTTCAGTACAGTGTGCAGGTGATTCTAACCAGAGCTGTGCCTGCTACTGGCCTGTAAGGGGCTGCAGCCGTTCTGGTGGGAGCTCATCCACACCAGGCATAAGAGAGTAACACACCTGAATCCAGAGGCCACCCTGCCAGGAAAACTAATGCCTCATCTTGGTTAATCAAAGAACAAAGAGCTACTGAAGGGCTGAGACCTGTGCTTAGAAGATAAGGCTCTCGGGCAGCACCCTGAACATTTCCCTGTACTTGATATACAGTTTTACATCCTTGCTCTTCATTTTTGAAGTCAAGGGTTAGATCACTGCTTCTTTCAGCCAGCTAGGAAA